CTCGATTAGTCTCAATTTTATGGAAGAGCACAAGGACCTAGTGTGAGTATTTATTAACTAAAAATGACAGTACTCAATTTCTCATAAAATATTTAAAATATGACACATAAAAAGAATGTGTTGTTCACGAGTATTTCTTTTTAAGTAAAAAAAAATTATTTAAAAAATTAACTAAATGTTGGAATTTAACATAATTAAAATGAACAAATTCCTAACAAGAACGTGAAACAAGACAGAATAATTGAGAGCATTGATTATATAATCAAATCATAATATACATATACAATATACGTATTAAGAATATATTAACGGAAAATTAACTATCTTTTTGATAACTTAATTACGTGTCTAATATCTTCCTACGATGAAAAATAGAGTTGTCTTTTAAACAAACAATTTTAAGTAATTTAGTATCTCTATTTTTATATAACATTTAAATTAATTAAAACAAGATAATATAGTTTAAACTCGAATCTCAAATAAATATATGTTGTATTAACGAATAACAATTAAAAAGTCTATCAAGCATAATTAGTTTCCTCTAATATGATCAATTATACTTAAATATTTATTTAAAAGGATTATTCTAATATTTTTACAATTAGTGATTAAATAAATTAGGAATGACAATAGGTAGGGTATGGGTAGGGTACTATAGTACCCATCCCCATACCCACGTTTTAAAAAAATACCCGTACCCGACCCTATACCCGCATGGGTATGAACATTAATCTCCGTACCCGTACCCTTTGGGTACCTGCATACCCATCTTATATCTATTACTCACGCTTGTTTGAGAAAAAAATATTTATAAAGAAAAATATGTTTATATAACTTCACATAAGTAGCACAATAATACAAAAATTCAATATGTAGTTGCCGATCAAGGTACAAACATAGATAAAAAATAAATATTTAAAGATCATAAATGTTAAATGTATCTTAATATAATAATTTTCTAAACTAAAATTCTTAAAAATAATAAGCGAAACTAAAGACACAAGTTACTAAAGACACAAGTTATTTGTCAGTGATAACTCTATCTTGTGTGAGATTTGATCGATTGGCAATGTTAGAGCGACAATGAAATAAATTTGTACAATGGTTGTCCCTTCGTGTGGGATCACTTGGTGACTTCTTATGACGGCATTAACAACTAACTCTAATGAATAACGTTTCATAGTTATTAGGTTTTAATGAGACAGACATTGAGAATGAGAATAGAGTTAGAGTAGAGAAGTTCAATACTAACAAAAGAAAGTGAATACATAAAATATTTTTTTAACTTTTGAATTTGAAAATGTAAGAAAATTAATAGATTTAATTAAAATAATATATATATATATATATATATATATATTAATACTAGTATTTTTAACTTATATACTATACGAAAGTATTTTATCAAAAATACAAAGTTTTAAAAAATTATTTTAATGAATTAAATATTTATAATGTATATAAATTTTAAAAGAAAGAATTTGAATAAAAGATAAATAGTTATAATAAAATTTTATAATAAAGAAATATACATGTATATTAAAAAAATTATACTTTTTTATCTGAAAAAAATTAACAAATAAAAATTTACAATAATTTTTTATATTTATATCTTTTCAAAAACTTTTTTGAACGTGAATAAATAGTAAGAATAATATTATTTAGATTCAATAGATTATAGTTGTGCTTATAATATATATGATACATAGAAAAATATTATTTTAAATTAAAATATAAAAAATAAAATTTAAATATTATTAATAAAAAGTAAGTTTACGGTAATAGTAGGTGATTGTAAAATTTATAAAATATTTACAATATATTTATTATTTATCATTCACTTTATGATTTAAACATCAATATGATTTTATTAACAAAAATATTTGTGTAAAAAATATTTTATGTGTGTCATATATAAATAATATTTTAAAAAAAGTCAATCTCATATTAACTATGTAATAATTAAATTGTATTAGCCTAATTAAATGATATAAAATAGTAAATAAATTTTTCTATTAAAAATATAAACCAAAATAAATTTTTTGGTTTACTTTATTATTAAATATATTTTTATATTAATCTTATATAACTTCACATAAGTAATATAATAATACAAAAATTCAATGCATAATTGTAGAATAAAGTTCAAGCATATATATGCGGGTATGAGGCGAGGTGGGTATTTAGATACTCATACCCGCACTTATCCCCATTAAATTTTGCGAATTTTTACCTACACCCATACCCGTACCTGTATAGCAGGTAAATACCCTACCCATTGTGGATAAATTTTGCGGGTGCCCATCGAGTACTTTACCTATTGTCATCCCTAAAATAAATACTAGTAATAAAATTAAAACACTTAAATAATTATTCTTAATTGATAGATGATCATTCTCTTAAATATTAAAGATAAGCATTTATTTTTCTTATTATGAACTTGTTTCCTACATAAATATTATTTTTTTAAAAACAAAATTTATAAACCTTTTCTAAAAAATTAATAATTTATTTAACACATTTATAGTATAGAGAAAAATAAATATTTAAGTAAAATAATATTAATTATTTCATTTTTTTATTAAATTAAACTTATATTTATAGAATCATGTTTTAATTAGTATACGGAAATATAATCATTATTATTATTGATATTCTTTTCTAACTTGGTACAAATACGAGTATCGGAGTATGTTACAATATTCACATTTATATTAGTGATTATAGCATACAACATTTTGGCTCTCTCAATGCTGAGATGGCTATCATCCATTACAAGCACAGAGAAGTTATCATAAACCCACACCAAGCTTTTGGTATTGGTTTTAGATCACTTATCACTAGTTCCTTGGGTTTCTAGGCTGCATCATTAATCCATTGTGTTCCTGGTTTGCACATAGTTATGAGGATTTAGCATTGATGGTGTGAAAACTCCTATGAAAGTGCATTCCTTGGTTCTGGATGGAGAAAGTTTGCAACACCTCATTAATGGTGTAACTGTCAAGAGGAACTTGTTTTCCCACTTCCTTTGTGCAATGTTCACAGAAATTTCTTCACTCTCCTTCCTTGATAGCTAGGATTCTCTCCAAAATTATTTGCCTTCTGGACATTTGCTTTGTGAACTAAGGGTATATCCACCTTTAATAGGGCTTGGTTTTAAATATGTACCACATATGGAGTGGTGTGATCTTAATAAGAAATAGGTTGCGATGGTTGCAATGTTTCTATGTTGACAGCAGGTAGATGAGAGAGCTTGGTTCCTCAGCTTTTGTGGCAGCCATCATCAATCTTGAAGACTTGCTTGTTGGGCTGACTTTCTCTTAGGCACCATTTTATGCTGTTGACATTATAAAAGTAAGATTAAAACACAACATTTCTTTTATTTTCTTTTACATTCCAAAAACAACAATGTGACCTATCATTGGTGTTTATGCATTCAAATCCTAGTGTTACAAGAATATGCAGCACAATCGTAGTTATAATGCAATTCCAACATATTGCATAACAAAGAATTTGACCCAGATTTTTATGCATATTTTAGATTAAGCATATCAGACTTCAATTCATAGTTCCAATTTATTAGCTAATTTTTTGTGACTCATACGGAGTATTAGAACTTCAAGAAAAATTTGAGAGAGAATTATACACCAGAAAATAGTTGTTCCTTTAATTATTTACAAGAAAGCATGCATTATTCACTTCCATATACTTTTTACATAGTGTATAATCCTAAATCCCTAAATCTGGAGTAAAGTAGAAGAGTATACATTACATACAAAGCATTCAACAAAGGATTCAAAGTAATATCAGAAGTTCCATAGTGCAGAACTTACTTCATTCATGTGAAAATACCAGGCTATGACTATTTTTAAATTAAACATAATTAAATCTTACTGTGAATGAGTACGATCTTAGACTAAAAAACTAATATCTCTAAAAAAAAAAATTAACAGCAAGGTAGTTTCCATACTTTTAAATAATTCAAAGATATACTTGCTAATCTACAATGCCTCTTTTGACTTGATTTAGGGTTGTAATGAGTCCTATAATTAAACAAAATAAGGGAAAGTAAAACGATATTCATAATGTACATTCAGCTTAACCAAGCAACACCAAGGAAAATCCTATTTGAGATATCTATTGAGACAACGTAAACATGGGTTAGTATCGTGTATGTAAAAGCATCAATATTTATGGAATACAACTTGTACGGGTAAGTGAGTTCAAATTCCTAAGAAATAGTTACTTGTGTAAGCAATGCTTAAATTTGAATGCTAATTTAGGCTAATTTAATTGACACAACTATACATCGGTTACTTATATATAAGAAATTGTCTATAAAAAAATTTTAAGAAAATTATTCATGGTAATAAAAAATAAAATAGTAATCCAAGATCACGTGATCTTAACCATTGACAGTTTGACATGTGTTAATTTAAAATAATAATAAAAAAAAACATACATGTCATATTTTTATTGATTGAAATTGGAATATAAAAAAAAATAAAATTCTAGTGGTAATTGAAGAATCGCCTATGAGAAGTACCCTGACCTTTTGAGATCCTAAAAGTCATACAAAGAGTTTTGGAGTAACATATTCTTGCAAATTAATTAGTGTATCCCCCCACATCACATCACAACAAAACATTGAACTTTTCTTTCTTGGTACGGCGGGAACAACGTAAACCAGTTGGCTTTTGGAGATACATATAATAACTTGCTAATTTTCTTTTCATGTTTCTTCATTTTTATTTTTATTTCTCAATTTTTATAAAGCATTTCTAATCGATTTCTTAACATAAACTTTTCAAAAAATATTTTCATTTGCGAATAAACCGACTCGTATGTTATTCTTTTAAATTAGGTTCACTTTTTTATCATCTTCATATATTTACAGTTGATATAAGTACATTCTCGTTAAGCTTTAGGTAGAGTATTATATAATTAAAATTAGCTTAAGCAATTAGAGAGCCTAGGGAAGCTATATGTATGCCATTTAAAGAAGGAATTAAACGCTTTGTATTTTTTCCACCTTAGGAGATGCAAGATCTTGATTCAACGTCACACGGTCTCAAGGACTAGAAACGGTAACAATTTAGCTACTAAGTACAAACATATTGACAATAAAATAGGCATTTACACTTTTTTACAGTTTCATCAGCTCCTATTAAGTAAATACGAATCTAACTTTCATCCATGAACTACTCACCGATCTAGAATATATGTATATATGTAATGAAAAGAATTTTGTTTCAAACGGAACATGGCACGTAGGTGACCCTTCTCTACTGAGACTTGAGTAAAAACTTGAAATTTTACTGTTGAATTTTGGGGGGTGCCACCACCCTGCACTGCAAGATTCAACCCATTTGTCAGGCGAATCAGTGATTCACTGGTACAGTGGACCACTGTATTTCTGAACAATACAATTGCAGCAATTTAATGCCATAATTCACAGTCACTGATGACAGCAAGAGAAATTGACTCACCCAGATTACAATTTTAGAAGGCACAGTGCACACTATGCATACAAGCACAAATAGGCCCCTTAACCAAAAAAAGACAAGTCTTCAAAGCATCAACTCCCAACATTCTTCTAACATAATGAGAATATTCACAAATGCTAATCCTAAATTTGACATCTCCCACTACTTTATTAAAGTAATCTATTTTGGTCTTTCTAGCACAATTAATGGCTGGTGTCTCTAAAAATTAAGTTACAATTAGCTAGTGTTTCACATCTATTAACATGAAACTTACCTAGCCCAAATAGACCAACTTCCTTCCCACAAACAATAGAATCAACAAGAAGGATCAAACATTTGGGTGCTTACAACAGAAACGTTAAATGACAAGAAAGAATGTCAATGTTTCAGGTTTCGGTAGTGTCTGAACTTATTACTGTCCCTTCTTCAACTGAAGATATTGGCAGTTTGCTTCCGGAACTCATCTTCTTCACATCCTGGCTGGAACAAATGAAGATTCGCCTCACCATATTACAGAATTCACTGGAAGGTAATATGATACCATTCAGCATGGTGTTAATAAGCAGAGAAGGTTAAATTAATGAATATAATATAATTGTTTTTAAGGAGATACTCACGGCCAAGGATCGTCTCCCACAAGCATCATGTCCCCTTCGTCATCAGTAAAGACGATTTCCCACTTATTCCTGTGTTTAAGCTGTCCCTTTATGTCAAACATATCCTCCAATTCATGTATAAGTTGATCATATCCATCCAACATGGTCAAATCCACAGCACGACCCACTGCAACACCCTGCATTTGAACCTTTTGGCAGGTTTTGAAGGTTCACGTCAGAGACCTTTCGTAATAGACTTATAATAAAACTACTATTATCTAAATAAACGATCTATGTTCAACACCTTGGTACGACTTCGACAAATTTGCTTGCTCTGACTTTCCTTTGGTGATGCATCGGACTTGTGGCCAGTATCAGTTCTGGACAAGGTGCTGGCACAGCCATCAGCAATGATTCTGGGTGCATTTACTGCATGTGTAGATGCCTTCTCTACAGCAGGTGAGTTTCTAGAATGATCAATAAGATCAATTCCAAACAATCGATAACTCATAGCATTCTCGACTTTGTTCTCCTTGTCAACTTGGTCAAACACATTATCATTGTTCAATCTGGATGAGTTAGGCTTTGAAACAGGCCAAGCTGAGGCACTCTTGTCATCTGTTGCATCCTGAAATAAGTGAGAAAGACAACTAGAATGGGGAGAAGATAGCCAACTTCCTTCTGTCTGATTTCTTAACATAGTGCCGCTGCAGTTGCTTTTACTATTCATATCAGCTTGTTTATGATGCCACATACCGGTACTGTCACTCCTTTTGCTTTCAGCTAAAACATTAAGTTGTGTCATGTCAACCTGTTTGAGCCCAGCATCCCAGTAAACAGAAGCAGCAGATGTTGTATCTAGTTTGAAACAAAAAGATTGATGGTCAAACGAAACAAATAACTTGATCAATATAAGAAATGGGAGGAGTTAGCAGAAATAATTCCTTACCAACATCTGGAATTTCACTGGTAGGTCGAGCCCTCTTAGTCTTTACAGCAGTAGGTTGAACTGAGGGTGTAGATGAAGAAGCCACAAACGGTTCTATCTCCCATGGAGAAACCCTATCAGGTCTTGGAACAGCTGAAGGTTCATCCCATTGAACCTGGGGATTGACAAGATCAAAAAAGGATCGATAGCATATAATCCACTGAAAATAAAATGAACTGCAGAGTGAAACATGACAATACCTTGAGTGATCGCCATTTTGAATTAATCCAATGAGGTGAAATATCTTCAACTCCAACTATGGTACCCGAAAATCTGATCAAGATTGTATTAGAAATTTAGACTAGCTATGAAAAGGTCAGAGAGAATAAACTTGCATGATAAATCTTATTACCTTCTGTCAGTCTCAGCAGAATCATCCCCCTCAAACCTCATCTTAAACCTCATGCCAACACCAACCTTGTTGTCCATAGCCTCCAAATACTTGTTCACGGCTATGATGAACTGGCTCGTCCTATGCACACAAAACTCGTGTCAACAATCACCCAGTAATTAACACTTACACACCTTCTAGCTCTTGAAACAAGTAAAATTTCTACCTTGGCTTATAATATACTACAAAAAGTGTCTGAGTTGCAACAGCATGAGAGGCAGTTGCTAGAACTCCAAGGTGCATGCTCTGACTGGAAATCACAGATGAAGGCATGCTACTTGCTTGACGAGAAAGACGTCTCACTCCAACACGTAATTCTCCATTGTCACCTCTACACACAAGATGAGTTAAAGTAACAATAGAATAGTTAAAGAGATAAATTCGTAGTAAGATTTCAAAACAATACGAATGAAACCAAGATAAAGAAAAACAATGAATGTTTACCTTAAAAACACAAAGGTATCTCCAGCAACTAATCTCTTGGAAGTCACAAAAGTACTCCATCCGGTTGTGAGCAAGTGTCTGCGCGGCTGACCTGATCAAAAAGAAAATTAAGTTCAAATTAAAATTCATAGGAAAAAGAAACCAAGAAAGTTAAATCGCAAGAACTAAAAAGAACCTCTATGTTCTCATTTCCTATACCTCTAAATATATGCTTAAAGCGCCATTCATAACCATGAAGATCCTTGGCAACCAATTCCTGAGTTGGTGTTGGTTGGGACATGTCCTAATAAGAAAAAGATAATCCAAACATGGTTTTTCCAAATAAGACCATCTGGAAAATGAAACCAACAAGAAATTCAACAAAAATTGAAACAGGAAGTATTACCAATGCAGGAAGGCATTCCGTGGCATGTTTCCTAAGAACAGAGAAACCGCCATGGGTGCTGGTATCCGAAGCAGTTAAGACCTTGCTGAATGAGTGAACTGGCGGCCTTGGAAGTTCAGTAGTGCATGGATCAGGGCTTGTAGGCTCATCTTGCTAATACATAATACATTTCCTCCATTAGAATCTAAACAAATGCCAAAAAGAATCTAAGGATGCCGATGGAAATTACTTAAAATCAAAAGGGGCAGCAACATCCTTACGTTAGATTCTGGCACCAAAGTGATCTGTGCATAAACCTCATCTGTTTCTTGCTCCGCCTAAAACACGCCAAAATTCAACATAAGCTTTCGTATCCTTTCTCCCCAACACAAACAACATAATAATAGAAATTCCAAAACCAAAGATTCATGATTTTTCTTGCATATAATTTAAAATAAAAACAGTTAACAAAAACAAAATAAAATGAAAGAGAGAGAGAGAGAGAGAGAGAGAATTACCAGTAAATGAACGTTCACGACACGACAAAGGATCTTCGTGGGAAGCTTCAGCAGAGGAATCCTCTGATTCAGTTCCTGGTTGGTGGAGGCCTCTAACTACAACAATAACAACAACAAAAAAATAAGGGAAAAAAAAAAAGCATTAATCCGGCACACCCAACAATCCATTTTGAGACAATCAGAAGTTCATTGTTTTTGCTGTGGATATGCAAATCTTTCAAAATAAAATGATAATTTTATAATTACTTAATTACATACAAAAATAAATAAAAAAAAGAAAAGAAAAGAAATCTCAAAATTTGCAAAACGTGGAGACTCACTTGCTCCATGTGACCTTGGGGAAAATAGAACACTCTCTGGCCAACACGAGGAACATCCACCAGTGGTCCCGCACAAGCTTTCCATAGCTGCTCATACAGCTCATTCTCGCTCTCACCCGAACCAACCACTGCCTCACAACAAAAACAAACCAGAAACCATAATCAGCTTCGCCCTTCCTTAAACCCGAAAACAGAAACCTCAAATTCCGTGACTCCCACCTTCAGCCGAAACATTTGACCCACGGTTCAACATGGTTCAACACAAGTCAACAAACCCACAAAAAATGAAAATAACAAAAATTACTTATGAAAATAAAAGGATTTGTCTTGTCACGCTTTAGAACCAATCTGAATCCTCCTTATTCCTTCCACGCAGACAAAAAGCCGAGATCCCGTTTCCACCACCAAACTTAGGAGACAGCTTTTAACGTAACAGTTTGAGACAAGCGGCTACAACATCAACAACCACAGAGAGGAAGCAAAAGCTATCCTGTGAAACGCTTACAGAGAGAAGCAGAAGCTGAGCAGTTTCGTTCAACGACGCGCAATGTCTGAGAGGCTGGGGAAGGAAACGGCGTTACTTGGTTGGAATAATGAATGACCACTCCCCGTTGGATCGAGTCCTTTTGTTTTATTTATTTATACATAGTCCAATTTTGTTGCCTCGTTTATTTATTGTTTTTTTATTTCAACTTGCGCTCTGTCGTGTCATGTGTGTCGCTTGTGAATTGTCTATTCCCACCAGACACAAGAAACAAGCCTATTCCTGTGGTTGTGTTGTGTTAGTTGTTACTCAACATGCTGATACTGCTTCTGGTTTTACATTTACCAAATAGTCTTTTCGGACTTCTATTATAACTTGAATAATGACTTAAACAATTCAATCTAAAAAGATTATTCTCCAAAGAAGAACATTTTTTTCCGTAAATTGAATTTTAAGGATAAGAATTTTGTGTGTAATTATTGATGTTGTTATTATGGACGGATAATCTGACATAGTGTGTAAATTTTTCTGTGAAAAATGAAAATGCAAAATGGAGTAAGCTTTTACAATGGTGTATCACTTTTTTGTTTTGTTGTTATAAAAAACAGTTCCAAATTTATGCTAGTGATCTATAAAAGTAGGTTCATGGTTTTCTAAATCAAGTTAATGTCTTAGAATTAATTATGAGTGACTTTTTTAAGAAAGTTTATAATATTGCTAAATTTTGTGAAATTTAGTTTCCTTTTTCCTAATGAGTAACATAATGTCAAAGAAAAAATTTATTAAATTTAATTAATAAATTTTACAGTTTTATCTTTTCAACGTAACTTAAACGCGAGAGAATCCACGTGAGAATCCAAATTCTAATTTTGTAAGGTCATACTTAATATTGGTTGAGGTGAAGCACATTTCGTCTAACAAGTCGCATGGAAAGAACAAAAAGAATAAGAAAAATAAAATAAAATAAAGGTGAAAAAAAATGGAAACAAAGAAGAAAAAATAGGATAGCATTTGATATTATTTGGTTTAAGGTAAAAAATTAACAAAACTAAAGGACTAAAGTGTTGTTTGTTTTCTATTTTTAAATAGAGGTTTTAGTTTTTAAAAATAAAAAACAGAAAAATATGTTTGTTAATATAAATTTAAAAAAAAATTGTTTTCAATTTTTAAAATTAAAAAATTGAATTATTATTTAGGTTATTTTTTTATTTTTCTGCTTCTCTTCCTGTAACTAACAAAAATTTAACTAAAAATATTTTTAGAAACTAACTTATCAAACAATATTTTTTTAACTTATTTTATAAAATTGTTTTAAAATATAATTTTAAAAAATTAAAAATCAAAATCAAATTAAACAAGCTCTAAATTTTTACTTTAATATCTAAGACAGTGTTAAATATTTTAGTTATTGAAACTTTTAAGATATCTCGATAGTTCTTAACTTTTTTTCTTCTTTCATCATTTTAGTCATTTGAGTCACACATTATCAACGTACAATAACATAATGTACAAATTACATGTATAATTATTTCTTTGATAAAATTTACATCATATAGGTGTGATATATATTTTTATTTTATTTTAGTTTTTGAAATTGTTATCCATCAGACATTTTAGTATGTGATTCTTAAAATCTTTCATCTACTCATTTTTTTTCTTTTTCATTCTTTTTTAACACTACTATAGCTGGAAACTACTATCTTTGATCACCATTTGTATATGTGCTATCTGTCAATGACTTTGTCGCTACCATCCAACACATTGAGGTTCTTCATTTTAGAAATGAACTTTGGAATGGACCTATTGAGCTAGTTTGAACTTATATTCAAATGAACCAAACTATGCATGGCAAAGTTGGAATCTGCAACAGATCCTAAAAATAAATTTGAAATTAAGAAAAGGTTTTTTGAGTGAGATCAAGTCAGTCTCCAATAGAAGAGAGTATGTCACCTTTGAGTCTATTGAAAGAAAAATTAAAGATTTTGAGGTTTTAAGCATGGTATTGGAAGTGGGTAATATTCCTTTGAATTTGTTGTTGGAAAAATTAGTGTGGGTTAGGTTGGAATATATGTTTCTTAAAAGAGAACCAATGAAATTGACATGGGAAATGGTCAAAATTTTGAGCGTTGGAGAAGTGCCGAATGGGGTAGGAAAGCTCTCAACATAGAATGCAAACATAAGCGGTGGTTGATGATGGTGATTTTTTAGTATGGTATTATTAAGAAAGAATGAAGAATAAGTAGACGAAAGGTTTTAAGAACCATAGACTAAAATGTTTAAAAGGTGACAATTTCATAAACTAAAATAAAATAAAAACATATATCACTCTATATACCATGTCATTTTTACCATACAATCAATCATACATCTCAATTAATGTAACATGTCATCATTTTGTTATTATGGGTTAACATTGTGTGACTCAAGAGACAAAATTATAGACAAAAAAAAAGTCAAAAACTAACATAACATTTTTAAAATTTGAGGGACTAAAACATCTGATACTTACTATTTTAGATACTAAAATAAGGGTTTAGTCAAAATTAAAATTTATGTCATTTTCTTCTTATTTGAAAAACTTAGTAAGAAAGAAAGTATTATAATGGAATAAGATACTTTTTTTATTGATAATATCTTTCTCTTTAATGTTGTTAATGAGATAACGTAATTAAATTTTAATTAGAAATTAGTTTTTTATCAAACATAAATATAGTTAGTTTTGTCATTATATCTTTTCTTATATGGCCATATTGTTCTTTTAGAATTTTGGTCATAGCAAATACAATTATGTATGTTCCATGAAATAAGGCTAACCTACAATAATGGTTGCTAGCTAGGCAATAACATGTTTTTACATAGAGCTAATCCTAGAATTGTAAAATACATAACTTCAACAATTTCAAAAGACTAAAATAAAATAAAAACATATATTATATTATATCATATAATATATCATTTTTACTATGCAATCAATCATATATGTCACTTAACATAACATATCAACATTCTATTATTCTATATTGATGGTATGTAGTTCAAAAGACTAAAATGATAAATAGAGACTAACACAAACTTTTTAAATTTCAAAAACTAAAATGTTAAATTCTTAAAATTTTATAGATAGTCTTTTGCAAAAATTTAAAGAATTTACTTGAAGACAAATAAAAGTAGTTAAATTAAAAAAAATACTTAAAAATTCTCACAAGATGCAATAAATGAAAAAAAAAATCTAACATTTGAAATAAAATGGGGGATGTTTAGACATTTTAAGTAAATTTAAGTCTCATGGCGCTGTTGAATTACTAATCCTTAGAAAATGGATTATCTCCATTTCCTTTATGGTTTGGGCAATGCAATACCAGTCTAAACTAAACTTTAAGAGGAAGTCTTACAAAAATAATTTATTAAAATTATTGTAAATTTATTTTATTTTTATTTTTAAGTTTTTTAAAAATGTAAAGTTATTTATAAATTACCACAATTTATTTTTTAATAAATTTTTTTAATTTATTGTTAAATTATATACTTATTCTCATGCACCACAAAGTGTTACGTCATTGAAAAGGAAAAAAGAAAGAAAATTAGGGAAAGCGACTTTAATATTATTTAATTAGAATTTAGGAGCATTTACTGCAGCGATGAAAAATGTAAGAAGTTTTTATAATTTTTTATTTAAAATATTTGCTTTAAGTTAGGGCCGGCCATATAAATTTTAAGTCGTCCATTGTGTAATCGTTATGATGATGTATATTGCTTCAACTAATGATTCTTTTGGAATTTTGTACATTTTCGTAGCAAGACTTTCCGGCTTGGCATCGGTTCATTGCTTAGTCAGAGGCGTTCCATCCGGGAGCAGTAATAGTCTTGCATTAGTTTTGTTTCGATTTAAGAAACAGTTAATAATACAATGCATAATTTTCTGAAAACTAATTTGGAGTTCTAATTCTACATGAAGTGAAATCACATATAAAACCTAATTCCTAACTATTCTTATTTGAATTTCTACCTTAATCATTTGTGTTCTTCTCTTAAACCCAATTTGTTCAATCATTTAATACAACTTACCTTCAAAACTTTTATTTCCACATGAAATTACATTTCTACCATTCAGTTTGAAACAGCTACATTTTATTTTTGTAATTTAAAGTTCTATCAAGGAAATTCATTATTGTTTACCTTCATGCCATAATTATCACTTTTTATTTTAATTTTCATTGCTTTTATTTTGATTTCCATTAATTCGATAGAAAATTTAAAAAATGAATTCTTTAAATCAATGCTAAGTAAGTCTAATATTAACATCACAAGGACCATAAAATCTATACTCATTTAAAACAATTGGTACTCTTGACAAGTTTAATTTGAGTCCATCACAAACTCCATTTAAACTAAAGAAAAGGTCCTTCTTATTCTAAACTCAATAAACAAAATATAAATAAATATATTAATATAAAATTTCATAAAATTTAATACATTAAAGATATTAAATACTACAAATCTTAATAAAAAATTATTATTTATTAGCTTTTGATTGCATATTCTTAGATAATTTATTTTTTAAAATAATTGACTTTAATTAATTTTATATTTGTATAATTTAATTGAAACATCATGTAAAAAATAAAAGCGAACCATTAAAATCCAATTTAAATTTAAGGAAACAAATTAAACTTGTCTAAACACGACAGTGGATTAGTGGTACTCAATTAGTCTCTTCATGAGTCAGAAGGTGTAGAAGTCAAAGTAAATGGTCAAAAATATTCTAGTTCTTGAACGGAGCAGGGGTTTGTTTGAGTGGAAAGCGTGGTGAAACGGAGGGAGGGACGGCGCATTGCAATGCGTGTGATTTGGGGTAACGGAACGGAGGAAACGGGAAGTCCGTGACCGTTAGCTGCCGTCTATTTCGTTGTCTGCTTCGAAGCATGCAGCAGGGCTGGTTCGAGTTACCCCAGCACACGGCACGACACACAACCGTATATTTCATTTCTTCTATTCATTTTCAACCATTTTATTTTTTATTTGGTCATTCGCAACTTGATCCTCACAATAGCGTATTCTGAGGGACCCACATCTACGATGATACAGATGAATACTATTTTACTTGCCTTCGATTTTCTTGGGAATGCTCGAAA